AGACTAACACATTCGCTCACTGCCGCTGAGTCAATCTGACTCACAGCAATCCTATAGGACAGATTAGAACTGCCCCTGTGGGATTCTAAAACTGAAACTATTTAGGGGAATTAAAAGCCTAGAGACTAGATAGAGGCTATTAACTTCCCCTAACTGCTCACTTGTTGGGATGGCCCAAGTCTTGCATGACGCTAGGGCACTGGAATACCAGCTGGACCTACTCTGTTACCTCTTCCCCGGATTGATGTACACAGTTCATGCCCTTCAAGATTTACAATAACATTTTCCGACACAAGGACTTCCCTGGCCATCCTGTTAAAACTACAACCTTCCCATCCACCTGAACTCCTATCCCTAATTTATTTCCTCCCTTCACATTTATTTCCATCTAAGTACTGCTAAAGGAACTCTAGTGACACTCCAGGAGCCTTGGTGTAGTAGATTGAGCTGCTAACCACAAGGTTGGCGGTTCAAACGCACCGGCTCTAATGGTGGACTTCGGCCAATAGCCCACCATATTGCCCACTGACCTTGGATTCATTCGACTAGGGAGCTATGAACCTGACATGCTGATATGAGAGATATCTGCCTCTGCCTCCACTAGCCTGCCTTCCTGCTTCCAGGTTCCAACAGACCTAGGAGATACATGAGTCAGGTAAAGCCTCCAGCTTACCTAAGGACTTGAACCTGACTGAACTTGCCCACTTCTAGAATTGTGTGTGCCACTTGTTATAAATTTCTTTAGATTCCTCTGTGTCGCTGGTTTGCTTCTCTAAAGAACCCAGCCTCACACACCATCTGTCAGGGAAAACCAAGTGTCAATGCCCAGCTTACATCTGAGACGGAAACTACATTTTCATATGACGGACAATGAGGCATAGCATTTTATTGCAAATGTCCCTATGGAATAAGCTTGCTCCAACAGCTGGCTAACATACATCTTACACATCTCTTTAACAGCATCCTAACTTCATAGCAAAACTTATGGTAGGGCTTGTCTTTTTGCTTGATACTGAGGCCATGAATAAAACGTAAACACTGATAGCTTGAGTATCATGATAGTGGACCTTTTCTATCTTCAGACTAGAGGGTGATAGCTTCCCCTAACTCCTCAGTTGCTGGGCTGGCCCACCACGTCCTACATGAGCTAAGACAGGTCCACCCTAGCTGGAATTAACTCTGCCAACTGTCTCTTCCCTCAGTATATATATCCCTAGCTCAAGACTTAAATTCAAATATTTTCTCAACAAAGAGTCTCATAGTTGTCCTGCTAAAACAAGCTTCCCACCCCTCTAAGCCCCAATCCTTAATTTTCTTTGTTAGCAGAGCCCTGGCCACATAGTGAGTTAACACACTGGGCTAACCCCAAGGTCAGTAGTTCAAAACTACCAGTGGCTACACAGATGAGGCTTTCTACTCCTGCAAATAGTCTTGGAAACCCACAGGGCCAGTTCTACTCTGCCTATAGGGTCGCTATAAGCCAGACTGCGCGGCAGTATCCTTCCATAAAGATTACAACCATGGAAACCCCCTAGAGCAGGTCTACTCTTATCAACTGGGTGCTATAGGTCAACTGGACTTGTTTATTTTATTCCTCTCCACCACCACCCTGCCCCACCCCCCGACAGTAAGGATTTGTCTTTCTATATTGCCTACAGCTACAATGCCCAGAAAAATGCTTAGCACAAAATATGGGCTAATAAGTATTTGTTGAATAGATTAATTTTATCCATTGCCACGACTTTAAAATACTACTAATGTGCTAAGAACTGTCCAATTTATTTTTCTAGTCCTAAATTCACCATTCAACTTTTTAGCCTTTAATATCTATTGGCCTGTATTAGATAGAAGTCCGAAGTTTTCAGCTGTTGATTTGATTTTCTGCTTCTCGGTGTCTGATATCCATTCTGTGGACCTGGAAAATTCCAGCTGGACAAATTAGCTGGAGCATAGGGAAACACTCTGCAGTGAATAGTTATTGCCCCAGGACACAGAGGTTAGAGCCAAGACGCACAATTGTCATAAGTAACTAGTCAGCCTTGATTCCAGTGGACCACCAGAAAGGGTCATGGCTAAAGGGCCAGGTCCTTGCAGTGAAAAACAATGGAGGCAGTATGGCAAGGCTGTCTCAAAGCAGTTACTTGAACGATGTGTAAATATCACCTCTACCCAGGTGCCAACTTGACAATGGTAGATTATGTGCCAACTTGTGAGGGGTGATTCTCAGCAGTTTGCCTGTTATGTAACGCTGTTGCCATCCCTTCATTCTGTGAGCTGTGGGATTACATCAACAATGTTATACATGAAGGAAACACAAGGACACCTAAGAAAGAACGAAAATGGACGTCAGAAGAAACTCTGAAAGTTGCTCTTGAGCATAAAGCACCTAAAGAATTGGTGAAGTGACAGAATAATAATCTATAAACTATCAAGGGCTCATGAGGGAGGGGGAAGCGGGGAGGGAAAAATGAAGACCTAATGCCGGGGGCTTAAGTGGAGAGGAAATGTTTTGAGAATGATGAGGGCAAGGAATGTACAAATGCACTTTACACAACTGATGTATGTATGGATTGTGTTAAGAGTTGTATGAGCCCCTGATAAAATGATTTAAAAAAAAAAAGAATTGATGAAGTAAAATATCTGAATAAAAATTTTCAAAGGATAGATCAAGAACAAGAAGCAGAGTATCCCAATTAACTATGCAAAGTCCTGGAGTTAGAAAGTCAAAAATAAAGAACATGTTCAGAATATCTCAAGATAAATAATTGAAAGCAAAAAAAAAACCCTTCAAGACACAAGTTGCAATATGGAAGAGTTCTATGGACAAAGCATTCGACTCTGTGGATCAAAATTATGGATATCCTTGAGAAGGATGGGAATTCCAGAAGACTGTGCAGTGCTCATGTGGAACTTGAACATGGATCACAAGGAAATTGTGAGAACAGAACAAGGGCATAGCGCAGGGTTCAAAATAAAAAAAAGATGTGCAGGTAGGCTATAGCCTCTCACCATACTTATTCATACTTACGCTGAAAAAAGTCCTAAGAGAAGCTGGATTATATACTGAATGAGCCATCGGGATCGAAGGAAAGCTTAACAACCTGTGACATGCAGGTGACACAACCTTGCTTGCTGAAAGTGAGAACTTGAAGCCCTTGCTGATGAAGATCAAGGATTACACCTCAATGTGAAGACTCCCAACTGGACCAATGGATAGCATCATGATCAACGGAGAAAAGATGGCAGTTGTCAAGGATTTCATCTTGCTTAGATCCACAACCAGTGCTCATAGAAGCAGCAATCAAGAGATCAAACAATGTGTTGCATTGGGAGAATCTGCTGCACAAGACCTCTGCAGAGTATTGAAAAAGCAAGGAAGTTACTTTGACAACTAAGGTGGGTCTAGCCCAAGTTATTTTCAAGAGCCTCATGTGCATGTAAAATTTGGACATTGAGTAAGAATCGATGCTTTTGAATTGTGGTGCTAGTGAAGAATATATAAAGTATCCTGGACTGCTAAAAGGACAAGCCAATCTGTCTTTGAAGTAGGGCCAGAGTGCTCCTTAGAGTCAAGGTTGGGGAGGCTTCCTCTTACTTGCCTTGGACATGTTGTCAAGAACGCCCCGTCCCTGGAGAAAGACGAGCTTGGGAAAGGAGGGCAGTGGAAAAGAAGAATGCGCTCGACAAGATGGATTGACAGTGACCACAACAACGGCTCAAGCATCGGAACGATTGTGAGGACGCACAGAACCAGGCAGGGTTTTGGTCTATTGTGGACAGGGTCACTACGGGCCGGCCGGAATCAGCTCAATGGCACCTAACAGTGGACAAAATAGTGAACGATGCAGGAAGCATCACAGAAGATGGAAGGGATACAGTCATCCAAGCAAACGATCTGTTACGGTTCAACCACTTCTAAAGGTAGCATGAACCCATAGTACTGAGGGACGAAGAAGCCCAAGCTGTACTGAAGAACTAAGAGAAAAATAAGGTTCCAGGAACCGTCAGAATCGCAACGGACACGGTCCCACAAGCTGAGGAAGCCTGGAAGCACTCACTCGTCTACGCCAAGAAGTCTGGAAGACAGCCACCTGGTCAACTGACTGGACAAGATCCATACTTGTGCCCATTCCACATAACAGGTGACATAACAATGCCAGATTCTTGCATAATATCATGACTATCACATACAAGTAAAACTTCATTGACGATATTCAAAAATAGCGCCAGTAATACATTGACAAGGAACTGATTTAAAAGAGGACACAGCATGTGGGAGATCACTGTTGACATCAGATGGATCTTGGTTGAAAGCAAAGAATATTAAGATATTTGTGTTTTATTGACTATGCAAAGATACTTGACTGTGTGGGTCATGACAATGAATTACATTGAGAAGAACGGGAATGACAAATTACGTCATTATGCTCACGTGAAACCTCACTCAAGGTTTCAAGAGGAACGAGAGAATCCCTCACATGCCTGTGAAAGCTAGATATTGAATACGACTGAAGAACTGATGCAACGGAGGTACGGGGTTGGCAAGGCATACTGAAAGTACCACGGTTGGCCAGAAGAACAAAGCTCTCCAGGAAGTTCAACCAGAATGCTCCTTCCAAGCACGGATGGCAAGACTATCTTACGTACTTTCGACATGCTATCGAGAGCCGTCGCGAGAAAAGAACATCATGTTTGGCAGAGGATCGGCAAAACAGAGGAAGCCCTTCAATGCCATGGACTGACAGGCACTGCAGTCGTGGGCGCCAGCACAGTCAAGGCTGAGAGGACGGCACTGGACCAGGCCGCTCTTCTGTCCAGGTCTACAGAAGGTGGCTGAGTCAGGGCCAACTCAGTGTTCCCTACCAGCAGTCAGACAGATGAATATGCTCGAGTGGTGGCTTTGCACAGAAAGATTTGACCACAACAAAAGACCACCGAAGCACAGGGAAATTGAATCGCCTGTGGAAATTCCTAAGTCGACTATTCTGAGGACGCTTAAATAAAACACAATTTTCTATTTCATTTGGTTCTGAAATGAGAGAAAACCCATCTAGTGATATCTTCACCTTCATACAAAGTACGGGCGGTCAGGAGTCTTCTGAAACTCTCTCCAAGGTGGGTAAACCAGTGACTTGTGGTGGCAGAATGTTGTTTTCTGCAACTAGTTCATAGACAGTGGAAGTGTCATCCACAGACGCTGCCCCACAGCTTCTCTCCCTGAGTGTGCCTTCTGGTCCAAGAGGAGGCCTTATTGCTAAAGCACCTCCCATTCTCCCTGTCCACATACTGCTACTCCCTCCAAAAACAAAGCTCTTTTCTATCAATGACATGTGATCTTTTCCCAAACTGCTGCCCATTCTCCCTTCCCATACAGAGCTTCTCTTCTGAGTCCTCTGGTGGGTGAGGCAGTGTGATTTACAGTTAAAGCAATGGCCACGCTCACTACAAACAGAAGGCTTTTCATCTGAGAGTCTTCTGATGTTTGATAAGCTTTGACTTACAGCTAAAGGCCTTGCCCACACTCCTTGCACACATGTGGCTTCTCCCCTGAGGGGCTTCACCTCTGGTGGGGGAGACCTGACTTCTGGCTGACACCTCATCTAAATGTGTTTCCTGGTATCAGATGAGAGTTGGTTTGTGGCTGTAGCTTCACATCCTCACGGAAAACATGGGAATTCTCTCAAGTCCGCCGGTGCATAAGGAGGACATGTTCCCAGCTAAGGCCTCACTGACAACGCTTACGCACACATGGCTTCTCCCCAGAAGTCTGATTTCTGGCTAATGTCTTGCCTACACTCCCGGCACACTGAAGGTCTGTCCCCTGAGTGCATCCCTTCATGTCTCAAAAAAGTTGACTTCCGATTAAAGCCTTGCCCAAGCTTCATACAAACATGTGGCTTCTCCCCTGAATGTACCCACCTGCTGCATAAAAAGGTGTGATTTCTCGCTAACACCTAGGCCACACTCACTGCAAACATATGGCTTCTCATGTGAGTCATGTCTTCAAGTATTTTTAAAGAGTCATCCACACACCAGGCACACATGTGGCCCCTCCCCCTGGATGTTTCCTCTGGTGCATATGACTGGCAGAACTGACTTCTGGGTAAAGTCTCATCCACACTCCAGGCCCAAGTCGGGTTTCTCTCTGTAGTGTGTCCTTGTGTGCACAAGGAAGCCTGCCTCCAGTGAAAGCCTCGCCCACACTCCTTACACAAGCTTGCTTGTCCCCTAAGCGTGTCCCTGGCTGCAGACGTGGCCTCACTCACTTTGGGGGACAGCCTCGTCCACACTCCAGACGCATGTAAAGCTTTTATCCTGAGCGGGTCCTCTGGTGTCTGGTGACGGGTGACTTGTCACGACAGCTTTGCCCACATATGGCTTCTCCCTCAAGTGTGTCCTCTGGTGTTTGAGGACGTTTGACTTGGAGCCAAAGCCTCGCCCACACTCCAGGCACATGTAAGGTTTCTCTCCAGAGTGTGTCCTCTGGTGCCTGTTAAAGGATGACTTATCGATAAAGCCTCGCCCACACTCCAGGCACACGTAAGGCTTCTCCCCAGAGTGCGTCCTCTGGTGCCTGTTAAAAGATGACTTATCGATAAAGCCTCGCCCACACTCCGGGCACACGTGTGGCTTCTCCTCTGAGTGCGTCCTCTCATGTTTGCGGAGGCCTCTCATGTTTCCGAAGCCCCGGCCACACTCCAGACACACGTGAGGTTTCTCCCCTGAGTGTGTCTTCTGGTGCATGAAGAGGCCTAACTTGCGGGTAAAGCCTCGCCCGCACTCCAGGCACACGTACGGTCTCTCTCCTGAGTGTGTCCGCTGGTGTCTGATGCAGGATGACTTATCAATAAAGCCTCGCCCGCACTCCAGGCACACAAATGGCTTCTCCCCGGAGTGCGTCCTCTGGTGCTTGCGCAGGCCTAACTTCTGAGTGAAGCCTTTCCCACACTCCAGGCACACGTACGGTCTCTCCCCTGAGTGCGACCTCTGGTGTCTGATGAGAATGGACTTATGGTAAAACCCTCGCCCACACTCCGTACATACATGTGGCTTCTCCCCCGCGTGATCCAGCCGATGGACATAAAGGGCTGACTTCTTGGTAAAGCCCTGCCCACACTCCTTGCACACATGTATCTGCTCCAACCCTGAGTGTGCCATCTGGTGCACACGGAGGGTTGATTTCTTGGTGAAGCCTCGCCCACACTCCTGGCACACATACGGCTTCTCCCCTGAGTGGGTCCTCTGATGCCCATAGAGGCCTGATTTCTGGGTAAAGCTTCGCCCGCACTCGTTGCACACATACGGTTTCTCCCCTGAGTGTAACCGCTGGTGTACATAGAGGCATGATTTCTGGCTAAAGTTCCGGCCACACTCACTGCAAACATAAGGCTTCTCATTTAAGTGGGTCTTCTGGTGTTTGATGAGATTTGACTTGACATTAAAGTATCGCCCACACTCCAGGCACATGTAAGGTTTCTCTCCTGTATGTGTCCTGTAGTGCCTGATGATATCTGACCTACGCTTAAAGCCTCGCCCACACTCACTACAAACATAGGGCTTCTCCAGAAAAAGGGGCCTCTGGTTTGTGATGAGCTCTGATTCCAGGCCACAGTCTGGTCCATCCTCTCCAGAGGTGACTGCTCCAAATCTTGAGGTCTCTAATTCCTTCAACCCCATGTCTGTTCCCACAGAGCTCACCCTCGGGGCTGAGTTGGGCCCTATTCCTACCACTGTGCTGCATTCTCTGGGACTTGCTGGCTGTCTCTGGGGTGGGATGGAAAATCTCCTTGAAATTTCTCTCTTTCCTGTCCTCTCCCACAAGTACGTGGCGAAGTCTTCTCTCTCCCGACCTTCTGTGTTCTCACCCCTGCAGCTCTGAGGAGACTCCTGCTGCTCCGGCAGCTTCTGATGCCCTAGACTGGACCCCCCAGGATGGAGGTGATGTTCTGGGAAGAACTGAAGCTCGTGTTGGCTGAGGAACTGCTGACAGGGCAGAGTCAGCAGGCGGGAGGCACAGGGGTCGATTTCTGGCTTTGGATCTGCTGGAGAGAGAGAGTCCTCTGTTAGAGTAGCTATAGGGTGGGTTACTCTAGTGGAGTACTGCAGTTAGTTAGGTTAAAATGTGACACCTTACATTTATCTACAACTTATCTGATATATAATTATTTCAGTTTTTAATATTTTTGGCTTTGTTTTCTTTTTTTTAAATCATTTTATCGGGGGGCTCATACAACCCTTATCACAATCTATACATCCACCCATTGTGTCAAGTATATTTGTACATTTGTTGTCACCATCATTCTCAAAACATTTGCTTTTACTTGAGCCCTTGGTATCAGCTCCTCATTTTCCCACCTTCCCCCCACCCTCACAAACCCTTGAGAGTTTATAAATTATTATTGTTTTTCCATGTCTTACACTGTCCAATGTCTCCCTTTACCCACTTTTGTGTTGTCCATCCCCCACGGAGGGGGTTATATGTGGATCCTTGTGATCAGGTCCCCCTATCTCCTCCACCTTCCCCTTACCCTTCTGGTATCGCTACTCTCATTATTGGTCCTGAGGGATTTATCTGTCCTGGATTCCCTGTGTTTCCAGCTCTTATCTGCACTAGCATACATCCTCTGGTCTAGCCAGGTTTGTAACGTAGAATTGGGTTCATGATAGTCGGAGAGGAAGCATTAAAGAACTAGAGGAAAGTTGTATGTTTCCTTGGTGTTATACTGCACCCTGACTGACTCGTCTCCTCCCTTTGACCCTTTTGTAGGGAGGTGTCCAGTTGCCTACAGATGGGCTTTGGGTCCCCACTCCACACTCCCCCTCATTCACAATTATATGATTTTTTTGTTTTTTGATGCCTGATCTCATCAACACCTCATGATCACACAGG